TTCTATGATTCTATGAAAGGTTTTTTTCCAAAAATTACCCACTGTAGTTGGATTCTGCCATACTTTATCATTTCAGTTGAGACTTCTGCAGGAAGTGGCTGCAATCTTTGAGGATTGATGCTGAGCTGGGACCTGTTTTAGTTTCCCTGGGAAAGGCTGTGCTAGATGTGTTTTGATAACAGCAACACTCAGATCCACCTGGGATGAACCGAGTGGGCTTGGATCACATGGTATTCCATATTTTTCTGCAAGTTCCTTAGCTTCTTCTTCTTTCACCATTCTTTGGTCTTCCAGATCGCTCTTGTTTCCACATAATACAATGTCAGGGTTTTCACAATATGCATGCATTTGTAGCTGACTTACCCAGTTTCTGACATTCAGAAAGCTTTACTCATTTGTCAGATCAAAGAGTAAAAGAAATCCCATGGCATCTCTGAAGAAAGCCCTTGTCAGGCTTGCCCAGTGACTGGGCACAGTTACTAATATAGCAACACACTGTTTCAAACCATCTGTTGTTGGACTCTTGCTGCTGTGGTGATTTCCATTCGGTGTAGGTCATTTTTTGGAAGGTTTGAAGAAATGAAAGGTATCCTTGCGACTTCAGAATTGAATTTTTTGAGTTAATATTGTTGGAGTAATGCAGTAACTTTGTGCTTTACTGAGCTTGCAAGTCCCTCTCACAGGTGCTTTGGACTGCTTTATGCCTCTGTTGTGCTTGGTAGTGCTGCGGAGGGACTGGTGTGGTGGCTTTGGCTCACTAGAGGTGCGTAGCTGGCATTGACCTTCAAAGATGGAGTTGACTGTTCTTGCGTATTTGTGTCACTAATTTCATATTCAGCAGTTTGTCATGCAAGTGAAAGCATTCACTCGAGTACGGGGCCACCCTGTGCTAGTTTGGATGTAGTAACACAATACTTGTGGCTGTTTTTAGCCTGGCAAAGTGAATGTCATAATTCCTCGGTGCTGCTGGAGTACTCCTGGTGCTTTCTGTTTTCTGCTATACCACTTCAGATGGTTCTTGCCCGTCCTGATATGCCGGGACTCCCGTGTCTGACATACAGATGTCTTCAAGCTTGTGACATTTCTGCAAATAATAGTGGGGAAGCAGCAAGGAGTACGTTTTTCTGATTGGGTCTTGCAGATTTCTGCCGGTCCTTTAGGATAAAGATGCCATTGAATGGTATTGAGAGAATGACTCATCTTGAGTACAGGGTTCATTAACTCCCACGTGAGAAGCCACATTGAAGTCTCCAAGTCGGCCTGTGCCAAAAAGCATGCGTTGATGCCTTTGTTTTTATAAAAGGGCAACTCCTGATTTTTGCCTACGTGTAACTTTTGTCTGATATAAATCAAGAAGACTCAAGCGAAACTAAATTTGAACAAAGCCTTTGCTAGAAATAATTTTTCTTGTGGTCATTTCCTTCAATCCTTTGCCGGAAGGTGAGCCTTACCCTTACTGTCTGAATTCTTTATTTACTTTAGGATAATTTTTTTTGCAGACTTTTAGATCCACATTTCATCAGTGGCTAATTTCTTGCTGAGTCTGGAAAAGGAAGGGGGTTGATATAGCCCCTGCTTGTTCCTGAGTTTCTTACTCTGAGCTTTTTGGGGTACCTGGCTTCTGCTGTACACAGCCAGCGTTATCTGACAAGGCAGATGTGTGAACAGTCACATCAGATGTGATGTAGAGAAACCTATGTTATTTAAGGAAGCCTATTTAGCGTATAATATTTCAAATCCAACTGTTTGGTGCTCATTTAGTACAGGCTTATTGCAGTATTCCTGCTCCAGCATGCTCATATAAAAAGATGTTGAATGAAGCTGGATACCAGGAGAGTTTGAACAGGCCATTTTGAGTTATATCTAACAATTTACAAGCATACTAGTTCGTGCTGATAAATTATCCGTAGCTTTGGTACCAGCCAGCTTATAATTTGAATATACCAGTTTATATGAACACCTAATGCATGTGTGTTTAAAGTATGAGCAGCAGAAACTCAAGACTGTAACTACAAGTATAGACTTGGTTTGGTATCCAGTTGAGGCTCAATGTGTTTTTTGCCTGACGGGGGGAATAATTAAGTCTGTCTGCAAGGATGAAGGCTTTTTTGGGGCAGTAATTAACAAATCTGTGGTTCTAAGTAACTCTTAAAGTTGTGGATGCACCCTTATAAATTCACTAGATAAGTGGTTATGCTTTTTTATTTTTTTAAGGCCAGTGTATATCTAAAACTGAGATCAGCCTCCTACAGTTTTTCCGAATGGATCTTTTTCAGAAAAACATCATTCAGGGATTTAGAAACAGTGACAATAATTTTGCCTACAGCAGCCCTTGAGTTCATGTGAAGGTGGGCATATGAGTTAAGCTTTGAATGTAGTCTGACAGGTAAGTATTTTTGCTAAGAAAATGCCTATCTGTCTTAGGCTACTAGTTTTAAACTCCTTGTGAGTTTAAACTTTGTTCCTTCCTGGTGAGGTGGGGCTATCTGGTGATGAGCACGGAAGAGGTAATCTTGCAAGCAGCACGTCAGTACAGTACTCTTAAACTGTGTGTGTATATGTTATATATGTCTGCACATATTTATATTTTTATCAGGCCAGTTTAATAGTCAGGAAGTTATTCTGAAGTTGTAAGTCAAGTAGTCATCTCAGAGTGCTTGTTGTTACTAGACCTTCTTTGCTTCTTAAGAGTTCTATCTTAGCTCAGCTCCATGCAGTGATATTCCTGGACAGTCCTTTGCTCTTAACTGCAAAGGAAATTGCAGAGCTGGATGGTTAGTAATGTGAATTTTCCTGTTACTATTTAGTTGAGTTAATCAGCAAACATGTAAATCAGCCTAGAACAAGGTCTTTGAGTAACAGAGGGAATCTAAAATCAAGCAGAAACCATTCTTTGCATTGAAAATACACCCCAACAAATGACTGGTTTCTCTTCCAAATCCTTAACTTGTCACTAATTACCATGTTTTTTTCTGTGCTCCAGATATCCAGAGGGAGGAGGAGAAGGTGAAACGGTCGATAAAAGATGCTGCCAAAAAGGGTCAGAAAGATGTGTGTGTGATCCTCGCGAAGGAACTGATCCGTTCTCGAAAGGCCGTAAGCAAACTCTATGCATCCAAAGCTCACATGAACTCCGTTCTCATGGGGATGAAGAACCAGCTGGGTAAGAACAACTTCTGAGCGCTTCTAGCTTAGAGGTGGCGCCCAGGTTTCTGTTTTCAGAACCAAGGTCAAATGTGGGCAGCACTTGAATTTGGAAGCAGTCCTACTCTTGTGAAAGGCAGCTGATTCCAGTGGGCTTCAGGACACAGGGAAATTCCTCCTGTAGCGGGCCTGGAGGCACAAGGCTGCTGCAGTTCTTCCTCCCCACATCCAGCCAGGCTGAGCACCTGTTCCCAGTAGGCACCGGCACCCAGCAATGCCTTTACCAGCATCCATGTAAACACATGCAGCTTCCACACCAACCTGAACCGCACTGACAGCTCCATCCTGGTCTTCCTCTTCAGCTGATTAGGACTGAGGGACACTAGTAGAATACATATATATATACACACACACACATACACATGCACAGTATATGGGTTGTTCCAGTAGCTGCCCTCAGACACCCAGTCTAAGCTGGCCAACTATCTGGTAACTGGCCTCAGATCTTCTCTGCCTGAGCTGCTGCTACCAGGACCTGTAGGCCCCTGAGATTTATGGTCTTCTCCAGTCCGCTTTGGTCCCTCTCTTTCTCCACCTTCAGTCCTTCCCTTGAACATCCGATAAAAAGTTTCCCATGTTCAAGCACATTCCTGCAGTCCCCTTAAGATTCCATAATAAGTTTTTCATGGTTCAAAAAAATGCCCTTTTCCCCCGCATCCCACACTGACTCCTATATCCCTGCAGCAGACAATAACCCCCTGCAGTCTGCAGGATGTCCTGGAGATCGTTTCCCCACTGCTCTGTCTGGGTGGGTTTCCCAGCCTGGGCTCTGGAGCAGTCAGGGAGCTCCCATGGTTCCTACCCCTCCTTGTTCCCTAGATCCTCGCTGGCTCTCTGTGTTTCCTCAGATTAGCTGCTCAGCAGATAATCTAACACCTCTCCTCAGAGCCTGCGGGTTGCAGTGACGTGAGAATCATGTGCTCTGAAACAGAACTCTCTTCCAGTAATTTGGGGCATGATTTTAGTGTGTGTTCCTAAACAGTTTGAACACATGCCTCATATCCCTGCCTCCTTGTGGAGCCGGTTGTTGTTACTGATTGTGGCAGGATCTGTAACATGAGGTTTATTTCCTTCAGCAGAATTCCCTTCATCTTGTAAATTATTGTTTCTCTAGCAAGAGTCTTAGGACACTTATTAAATCCTAAATGGGAGGAGGTCAGTGTTTGATTTCCTTGATGTGGATGGATTGATTTGCCCTGTGGCTTAATACTGAGCTCTCTGTAAACCCTGCTTGCTCCTTTGTGCTTCCCCAGTACTAGCAAATTTCCCTCATTCCTTATCCACGTCTGAAATCTGTTGTAATAGACTTTCTGCAGTATTTTCCGTATCTTAGGGCATTTTAGCCTGTAAAAAGAACAGAGCAAAAAAACATTAAAGACAGAGAAAGACTCAGTGGAGGTCAACATGCTACTGAAACATCGAAGCGTTCTCCCCCAGCATTACCCAAGCTAGTGCTAGTAGATTTTAACACTAGATGAGTGAGAAATCAGGAGTCGCAACATGAACCTTAAGTGCAATCTTATGATAGGTGGACTGTGGCTCCCTGTGTACCTCATTCAGGAATGGGAAGCAGGGGCCGTCCTTGCAGCTTGAGGTGTCCTTTAAAAGGAAAAACTCCTTGTTACTGCTACCAACATCTTCATCTTACTGGGAATGTTCTGATAGGCTTACCCAAGCAATAAGAAGGAATCTGGAATTCGGTCTGGGGCTTGTATTAGCTTGCTTCATCTTGGGAAGTGACTGCTGTTAGTTTGTTAACATTAGACTTGTAATGTTTTTAATAAGTATTAAAATGAAAAGTAATATATGCCGTACCTTCGTTTTGCTTCATTAAGGAGTGACCATTTTATATGCAAACAGGTGAGTTCACCATGGCTGGGAAGCTGCAAAGCTAGATGGCACAATTCAAGAACCTCAAAGTACCCTTAATTGTTACATTTTGATCCTGGTATATCCACATATATGAGAAGAACTTTTAAGCTATATTATGCGAATAGCCCTGGAGAGCATATTGATAAATTCGCTTTACGCTTATTTCCAGCTTATCTGCTCCAGCATTAATTTTCTAGCTTACTGTTTGGTGTGAAACCGTTGCACTAGAACTTCTGTCAGAGTTAGTTTCTGCTGCCCGGTGTTGGGCAGACAGTCACTAGTTTGGTCAGCAGGCAGATGTGGAGCTGGACTGCAGCTCCACCGGCGAAACCCTCGCTCAGTGGGACCTCTGGCTGCTGAGGACCATGGCTCCCAGGGATCCCTCGTCGCAAACTGGAGTGCGAGTGGGTTGAAATCTCTCTGCAGGCAATCGGAGTGGCTCCAGGTAAACCATACAGGACAAGTATCTTTGCTAAACACTTCTGTTTTCTGAGTAAGAGTTGAGATTTTCCAGGAAGGTAGACAAGAATGAAGCAGCGGGATGTCCCTTTATTTTTTTAATTAAATTGCCTAAATGCAAACAAATTTCTATCCCTGTAGGGAGGATATAATTTCTCTGCTTTCAGTGGTGCATGGATCTTTCAAGCTTTTCTATGCCTCTCCTTCACAGCTGTCCTGAGAGTAGCGGGTTCGTTGCAGAAGAGCACAGAAGTCATGAAAGCTATGCAAAATCTAGTAAAAATCCCTGAAATCCAAGCAACGATGAGGGAGTTGTCCAAAGAGATGATGAAGGTAGGATCTGTAACATAAATAAGACTTGGGCAAACAAGAGGTGGTCGTTAGCATGCTGTGCTACTGCTTAGGCAGCTGGGGACTTTCTAGGAAGTTGCTGTATGTGGGGAAAACCCTGACCCGGTGATTCCTGCAACGCATTTGCTGTAAAGCTTGAAGCTGGACAAAGCTGCTCAGGTTGAGGATGGAAGGAAGAAGACCGGTCCCTGTACTGGTTGTGGCTCGGTGGTCCCAGTCCTGCGGACGGGGGAGGCAGAGGCTGACAGCGGGGTTCACCCTGCACCCAGGGCCTGCCCGTACCTCTGCCTGTTCCTGGGAGACTCAATCTCCTTTTTCTGGGGAGGAAGACGTTCGTTAAGAAAGACCCAGCGCAGCCTGTGGCGCAGTGGGAAGCTCAAAGTCCCACCTTAGGCACGATGGCTGTTCTGATAGCAGGTTTGAAACATCTAGCTTGGTGTCTCCATCTGATCAAAGTGCTCCAATTTTAAAGTATACTTCTTCCCGACTGTGGTTGTTTTCTTTTCAATTACCAAAGTTGTTTGGCTTTTTTCCCTCCCTCTTACTACTCCAGATTGTCTAGCTCAAATCAGCTTACTTAATAATTGCGCACCAGAACAATTTGCCTGTGCCTAGGTCGCAGACCTAGGAATGTTCAAATGCAGATAGAAAAAAGAGAAGCTGTCGAACGCTCATTTTACAGCATGTTACACAATTTATACTTCGTGACTGAAGTTTGCAGTTGTATTTCACACGCCGGGTTGTTAGCGCTTAGATATACAACGAGGAGTAACTTGAGGGTTTCAAAGTGAGAACGTGTGTGTTTAATCCTCAGTTTTCTTACGCTTTTCCTGTGCTCCGGTTGTACGGATACACACTTAAACTGTAGGCAGGTGTGTTGGCGAAGCCCCAGGCAATGGGATGGTCTTGATCTGGAAAGCTGGAGCGTCAGGAAAGGCTGGAGCCTCAGGCGAGTGGTTGTTAAATGCCTGGATAGATGTAACATGATCCCGAAAGCAGGAAGCATGTTCTCTTACTCTGCTGTTTCCAAGGGCATCACACGCTGCCTTTTCCTTTTTTGCTAGGCTGGTATTATAGAGGAAATGCTGGAGGACACCTTTGAGAGCATGGAGGATCAGGAGGAAATGGAAGAGGAAGCTGAGATGGAGATTGACAAAATCCTTTTTGAAATCACAGCTGGTGAGTGATGTTTGCCGGAGCGGAGCCTTGTCCCTGCTCTGTTCAGTAAGACACAGCGATTGAAATCTTTGTTCTGACTGAACTGCGCTCACCCAGTGGCGTGAGTGCTCTGACAAACTGGTTTCTCGAGGAGTACTGGCTGAGGAGGCCGGTGTGGTTCGGTAAAGCCTAGGTAAAGTAAAGTAATGTGCACCAGCTGATGGCTGTGCAGCTCTGTGATTGAGGCTGTAGCAGATCAGCGTTTGTCTGTGCAGATCTTCTTACAAGGTGACGTTTATGTGATTGATGAGATGCACGAGTGTTAATGAAGCCAGGAAATAAACTTGGCTGCATTGCCTTGAGTGGGGCTGCGCTGTGATTCCTGGCTGTAAGATGCTGTTAGTGTCTGGAGTTGGGGGGAAAAAAACCCCTAAAACCAAAACCCAGCCGCAGACTCCAACTTCTGCCTTACAGCTCATGAAATAATGACCTACTGGTTTACTTATTTAACTCAGATAATGCTTAGCACGCTCCTTACCCGAGTTTCTTGTGACGTGGTGTGACAGATGTGCATACTGGAGCTGTGTTCAGCTCTAACGGGCGGAAAGCCCAGTTCCCAGCTCCTGCCCTGCCCTTACCTTATGCTCTGCTGCTGGCTTCTTGCCCTCTCTCGTGTCTCTCGTCCTGCTTTGTTTTTTTCCATTCCATTTCCTGGCCGGGCAGGCGGTGGGAGCGCCGAGCAGCATAGCCCAGTGCCCAGCAAGTCAACCAGAAGTGACTGGCTGAATTCTTTGAGATGTACCTGAAAGGTGCTCGTTATCAAATCAAAACCTAACGCGCATTAACGAGCCTGTTTGTTGTTTGCAGGGGCCTTGGGTAAAGCACCCAGTAAAGTCACAGATGCTCTTCCAGAGCCTGAACCCATGGGAGCGGCCGCTGCTGTTGACGAGGAGGAAGACATCGAGGCAATGCAGTCGCGATTAGCTACCCTCCGTAGCTAAGGATGAAATGAGTGTCATGTACAGTTTGCCTTTTTTTTTTTTCCTTTTGCAATGGGATGTCCTGTCCTACCTTCAAAATGCAAAACTTAATATGTGAAAATATTTTCTGTAATATATATTTTATTTTTTTTTTCTTCCTGGGGATTGTATTCTCCAAGAAACTGCTGTCATATACTTCTTGGGGAGGGCAGTCTGTAGAGATTATCTTGTCTCTTTCTGTTCAGCCCGTCTTGCCTGTGAGAGGCTGTGGTGAAATGCCAATGGTGGTGTAATGTTATGTATTTTTAGATATAAAGTCTGAAATACATTCTTAGCTTCAAGTAGCGTATTTCCCTAAAGGGCACTTTGGCTTAATCTGCTACCAAAAGCCTTCAGTGGTGTGAGACCTTTGTTTTTCTGAATCACTAAAATTTTTATTAAAGCTGCTTTTAACAGTTGCTCCTGTGCGTCAGTTGAGTTTGCATCGCTTCAAACTCTTTTCACAAACAGTATCCACCCCTAACAGCACCCTCCTGGTTTTATAATGCCTTTTTTTTTTTTTTTATTTATTTAGTACATTTAGGGTCTTCCTCACATGCTTACAGAAAAGCTGTCAGTCGGGCAGAGCCGTGTTTAGCAGAGGCAGGCTGCCGCTATCGGTCCTGCTGTGTGTGTGTTCCTCTAGGGCCTGGTGCTGCTTGGGACCGCTCCCCCCTCAGCTCTGAGCAGGGCAGGTGGCCAGAGAAGGTTCCAGACCTGCACAAGCCCTGCCCTCGTGACTTTGGCCACCTCCAGAAGCTTTTTTTTTTTTTTTTTAAGGTCTCACATGTAAGCCATACTCCTAAAAGGCAAATATCAGCCCTTGCCAGCTCTGTGCTCCACAGGAGCCAAACAAGAGCAGCCCTGGGAGGCAGGCTGGTGGCAGGCTGGAGGGATGACGCAGAGCAGACCATCATGTTTTGCTTTCCTCATCATCAGCCCGGGCTCCTCGGGGGCCAGGAGAGGGCAGCTGGGGCAGGATTAACCACTCTGCTTTGGGGGAGGCAGACAGAAGGAAGGGGAAGCCCCCCCCTTCAGGTAAGGTGCGCTTCCATCCCTTCCAGTGAAGAGACAGCAGGGAAAAGGAGCCCAGCTGGGAAGAGGGATAGCTGGAAGAGCCAAGCCCAAAGCAGACAGCTGCTGAGCAGCAGCTAGGCAGAGGCAGGAGCTGTGCCCTGACTCCCAGTGATGTTTCCTGCCCTCCCCAGACTCTGAAGGCGGTGGCCAGGCTCTTCACCCTGGGCTGTGCAGTGCTCCTGCAGCCAGCAGGAACAGATCTGGGACCAGAACTGACCCCAGAACCAATCTACATCATTAAATTTTTCAGTCTTTATAAAAATAAAACCTGGCAGCCACCAGCCACCTGGGAACAGCCGTGCCCCCTTGCAGATGCTGACCAGTGGCATTTGTTACCCACTCTGCTCTTCTGCCAATCCAGCAGTGGCATACCCCAGTTCTACAGCAAACAGGCACTAGGCTGGTATTTGGTTGGTCACTGCACTCCTTAGGAGAGCTCTGCCTTTCATGGGTTCCATCTCTGCCCCAAACCTAACAAGAACAGGTACAGGGCACCATTTGTTTCTTGTGGTCTTAAAAATCCAGAGGACAGATCAGAAAGAAAAAAAAGCAGCTGGAGGGGCAGTAAGATTGGGCAGGGAACAGCTGCAATAAAGACAGGTTGAAGAGCAGCATAGTGGTAAGAAAAGTTCAAAATCCAACTTCAACAAAGGGTCTTTTCACACATACGTGTGTGCAGAAAGAGCAGTGTGAGTCATTTTGCTCGCTGGGAGGTCAGGGACCTGGGCTCCTGCTCCCCCCAAGCAGCTAGCTGGCCCCAAGGCAAGCGGTTAGACTGCTTTGCTTCATTCACTTCAGACTCGATACTGCAAGAGAGCATTCAGCTAAAGCCTTGCCTTTAAGGACACCGAACTAGTTCAGCATGAAATGCCAAATGAAGGGGTTATTGCTCTTCTTTAGAACTAAAGCCAGCTGAAGCAACTGGAAACAAGCCTGTCTGTGTACTGTCAAACCTCAGCAAGTAGGGATGTTTCGCTGCTTCAGTTGTTTAGGGTGCCCGGTTTTGTCTCAGTTTTGAGAGAAGGGGAGCAGAGCACACAGACAAACCTTCTACCCAGAGCACACAGACAAACCTTTTACTATCCTACTCTGGTGTAACCTGAGCAACTCCTACTCCCTCAGGTCACTGCAGGCTCAGCTCCACTTCAGATACCGAGGGGTGGGAAGAGGAAGTTTCTTTGAAAAAAAACCAAACCAAAACTGTTACCCAAGAGACTCAGAACAGTCAACACTCATTAGTAGCAGGTGAAGTACTACAGGGAGGGAATTTGCACAGGGTTTGTCAATAAAGTCCAGAAAAGTGACTTTTGGCTAGCAGGAGGTTCCCCCAGCCTGGCTCTTCCTAACGGCTACCCTGAGCTTTTTGGTGCCAGAAAGGACACTGAGGACCAGGGAGGTTCATTTTAGCTTGGCTTGTTAGATTGAGAGATGCGCTTTTCCACTCTTCACCCCTTCTGCCCGTTTCAGGTTTTATGACGTTTCCAGTCTTTCTCTAAGTAATTTTGGAGCGACACGTGTGCCATTGAAGACTGAAGCTGTATTAAAACTCATTTGATACAGACAGTGGTATTGGCATTGGCCGAGAAGCAGCAGCCAAGCTCAGTCAGTCCTGCTTCAGTTAACCGAAAAACAAAGCTATAAACAGATCTGTTACTCAATTCAATACCCTAAGCCTTCAAATACTTTATAAAACAGTATGAACAGTATATGATACACAATTTTCTTTTGCATTTCAAAGCACTGCATCAAATTAATTACATTTTCAAGAGTCCATTGAAGAAGCCAGGCAAAGAACAGTATCTGAAATAGAAGAATTTTATGTAGACCATTCAGTGTTAAAAACCAGAGAATCAAACATCAGTTCAAATTAAAGAGCAGTTTCAAAGAGAAGACATTTGATTAAAAGTTTCTTTTAACATTTAGAAATTTAAATACATTTACCTAAAGATGGTTAACCCCCATCTCTATGTTACTATACAATAGCTTAAAGCTAATTTTAAATGCTAGTTCTATGTTAATGTGAAATTCCAGAACCGCATTCTTATTTTTCTGTAAATTGGTTATTAAATTGGGTGACTCCATACTTCCTCCCACCCCAAAATAAACTTTAAAAACTGGAGCTTTACGACATTTCGAGTAATATTTGTCAAATGAGTAATGTGGAATAATTTCCGACAGTTCTATAGGAGGTATTTTGTACAGTTTGGAGAGCAACTCCATATAAAGTTCTATTGCAACTGAGCATTCACAGTATGCCACAGTCCATACATATTACTACATATACATATCAGGTTTGTAAACATTGGAAGAATACACAGAACATAGTACCACGATCCTCTGGTACTGCTGAAAGGAAGATGAGGTAACATTCATATAAGCTCAAAGTCCACAGAGGTCCTGACTGAGTAGTTAAAACAGCTGCCAACGCTTCTGTTTCATAGTGTGTGGTTAAGGCTTTCCACTTCACGGTCTGCTAAGGCTGGATTCATTAGCTCTCAGTATCCCAACCGCATCTTTAACAGCGTGGTATATGACATTCTTCACCTAGGAGGAAAAGAAAAGGCATTTAGGGCCCAGTTGGAACTCTCCCACTTCCCCATGCAGCTCTCCTTTCAGGTTAAACACGCTCATCTGCACGGGTTTGGCTTAAACTACTAACTTGTGAAAATAAGGTTCAAATTCTAACAGGATGTGAGTTGAAACCCTGTAGCTTGAGGAGAATACTGCAAGCTCAGCTAGAGGGAAAACAAAAGAAATAGAAGAAAGAAACATTTCAAAAGAATCTCAGGAGAAGCTTCAGGAGACTTCCTCAAAACTAACAATTCAAAAACCCATGGAAATTCCTCTTCAAGGTCTAATGTGTTAAAGCTGATCTGAACATGAAAGCAACGTGGGTTGTGTGGAAACACCCCTTATGGGTTTTGTGAGGGTGGTTTGGTGGGTTTCAGTGGGGTTTTTGAAAGGGTTAAGAGGGACAGGGTTCATCCTCAGCACCGGTCAGTTACCTGCAATTTATCTTCATGGTTCGTATGCGTATGTGACAGATATCTAAATTCCTGAGTGAGCCAGAAGCAATGTTTGACATGCTCTGGGGATACAAAGTCTTCTGCAACTTTAATACAACTGTACAAATTATGAACCTAGAGAGAACAAACAAGCATTAGCCACATGCTCAAACGTCTGCCCAAGTGGTCAGGCTGTAACAGCGTCCCTGGTCCTTGCCTGGTGTGGAGCTCCTGCTGGAATGAAAACTACATCTCCTAGAAACTGTACAATAGCCCAGCCTTGAACTCCATACTCTTGATGAAGGCGTTTTCTTAGCGATCGGTCCAAGTACCAACTCTGATCATGAATGGGATCGTGATCTACAGGGTTTTCTTGACCTTGTTCTTCCGCAACCTGGAAAGTCACAAGACAACAGGTATTAAGATATACCAGTCTTACTGGACAATCACGATGTATCGGTGGTATTCCGTATGCGCGCGTGCTGTACAGAGTGAGAGTGACTCACACCATGCATTCAGGTGGAAGAGTCACACCATGAAAGGTTTGGATTCTTATTCAGCCCTTAGCTCACCACGGCTTCAGCATTTCTCAGTCCCTCTTGTTTCACAGACACATTGCCAATGTAGATATAGGAAATGCAATGAAACCAAATTTACAGTAAGAGGGAACAGAAAGGTGTTCGCTGTGGGAACCACTGCCATATATGGGATCCATACCCTTACATTACTATAGCCTGTAACAGGAAGAAACTCCTGAGTGTGGAATTCAGTGGGTGTCTGCCCAGAGGCCAGCACTAGTCAGCGTGCTCACTAACCAAACCAGAGGATGCGAACTAGATTTTCAAGAGATACGAGGCTGGGAGGCACAACAAGCACTTCAGAAGAGAAAGTGGAGGGCTGCGGGGAGAGAATTTCTGCAAAATGTTCCAGTATAAACCTGATGTGCTGTGGCAATCATTTACACCTGGGACTGTAGCCCCAAAACTCATTTGGGAGGGGAGAAACAGCTTGGTTCTACTCCAAGACAAGCTGCTGAAAGCCTCACACCTGCAGGCAAGTATGCTATGAGGGGCCACAAAG